GTACCATGAGTTCTGCACTTTGCTAGATACTAAGGGAGGTCTTTTTTTTTTTTTTTTTGCAGAACCGGGGATTGAACAATCCTTGCCAGGGAAGCGCTTATTCTACTGAGCCATCTCCTCAGCCCCTAAGGGAGTTCTTGAAACCTGAGAAATGGCCTCTTTTTCAAAGGGCTAGCAGCTGTAGCCCTCAAGGCAGGCTAGAATAGAGCAGTGAGCAGTAGGACCTAGATCATAGTTGGAGTTGAGATTTCTGAAGACAGGCTCTTCAGAAAAGGTGCTTTATAGAGATGTGTTGATATACCAGCTCAGTGGTTTAGGGAAAGTGAAGCTTTATTGGCCCCAGACATTCCTGGTATTTTTCCCGTGTGGTACAAGGCACCCTAGATGGGGATGAGTCTTGGGTCCATTCTTCGCCAGCATACCTAGCAGCTTTGAACAAGTCTCCCTACCTTGTTAGGCCTGCTGTTGTGTACCATGTCAGTGGGGACAGTAGTGCTGAGTGTTCCTTCCTGTTAGCACTGTCCAATATACTTGCTTTCCCAAGTTGTACTTCACATTAGGCTGTTAAGGTGAAGGTGTGGAGCAGAATATAACTTGCATACTTCTGCAAGATGTGTTAGAGTACATACTGTCACACCCAGTGACTTTTAACAACATAGTGTGACCCTCCTAGGAGATCTCTAATTCTGGCTCCCCAATTTCCACATGATCACTGTGCTGGTATATACACAAGAGTTAGGAGTAGGAAAAGGCTCTGCCTTCTTCACGAGTTGTACCAGCCACTACCCTTGACCCAGTGTCTGGATTTTCACCTAACCAATGTGGAAAGAGAAGTTACCAAGGGGCCGGGGAGATAGCTCGGTGGAATAAGCGCTTCCCTGGCAAGTGCAAGGGCCTGAGTTCAATTCCCGGTTCCACCAAAAAAAAAAAAAAAAAAAAAAGTTACCAGATGTGATTGAAGTGTGGAACAGCTGGGATCACCTGGAGGCTATTGTTTCTCTCCTTCAGAGCTAGCACCTTTTCTCTACGTTCAGTGTCTGTAGTTGGGATGGCAGAGTATCAGCAGTAGCTGGCCTTTGAAGTGTTTTTAAATGGAATAAATGCAGCTCTCTTACTGCTAACTTTAGGTCTCTGTACAGGCTTTGTTTAAATTGTCAAGCTTTTTCTTTCAAAAACCTAAGTTTTTCCCAATGTATATGCCTGAAGACAGTTACTTGTGAGTGTAGAGTTCTGCCTCACTAGGAAGAAATGACATCTGAATGGTTTTCCTGGGTCACCCATGCAGTTTGTCTTCCTTGTCAGTGGTGGTCAGTGTTGCTTACCTAGTGGTCTTGGAGTTCAGGGGCAAGGGACCTGTGTTCTGCCTCAGGGTACTGGCTGAAGAGTAGTCCTTTTCTTGAGCTTCCACCCTTTACTCTGTTGAGGGCTTGTGTTTTCCTGAAGGAAGAGATAAGTCTACAAAATTCCAAAGTCTATAGTTCTAATCTTTGGCTTCTGTGGAAAAGAATCTTTTCTGAATGCTTTTGTTTAAACTCTGTTATCTTAAGTTGCCAAGTAAGTTCACTTTGAGTAAGAACTGTAGCAGATCAAAAAGAACTTGAATTGATGGAGGAATTCTTCCCATTTGTATGAAGAAGAAAAAAAATTTTTTTTTTTCTGCTGATAATTATATTGACACGCTGATTTAAAAAAACCTGTGGCTGGGTGGGGAGGTGGCTCAGTAGAATAAGCGCGCAAGGGCCTGAGGTCAATCCCTGGTTCCACCAAAAAAAAAAAAAAACAAAAAAAAAACCAGCCAAACAAACAAAAAAACTGTGGTTCCAAAAGTCTCTTTATTATTTGATGGATATTTGTAATCAAGGTTTCAAGTGATGAACTTGTTCCTTTAAAGAGTTGGCCTTTTTTTTTTTTTGGCGGAACTGGGGATTGAACTCAGATCCTTGCACTTGCCAGGGGAGCACATTCTACAGAGCCATCTCCCCAGCCCCAAGAGTTGGCCTTATTGATCAGGTTTGGGCCATACCACCTTGAATTCAGCACCACCCCCCTTTTAAATGTATTTAGTACAGGGTCTCACTACACAGATCAAACTCGGATCAGACTCGTAGTGATTCTGTTTTCAGCTTCCCAAGCGCTGGGATTACAGGCATGTGCCACCATGCCCAGTCTCAATCACCAACTCAGTGGGCCCTGGGGCGGGGCCGGCACAGTACACCAGGGATCAAAACCTGGCCACTGGACTCTGCCTAAGCAGACGCTTTAGTTTGCTGAGCTGTCTGGCTGGCCTTTTCAGGCCCTTGACTCACTGTAATCTGATAGTTTCTGTGGGTTCTCTGTGATCCCAAAGTACAACAGTGAAACTTGCTAGGGACTGCTCTGCTGCCTTTGCTAGGCTTGTCTGCCTGTTTCACAGGGGGTGAAGAGATGTGTTGGTTGCTCCTCAGCCCCAAGCACTAACTTTGGGCAGTTACAGAGTCCCCAGTGCTGACCAGCTCTTTTCACTTGTTAGATTCTACATCCAGGGACACACAGAAAGGTATCACAAGCATGTCCCATATGTACTACAACATACCTATAATTCAACTCTTCCCATTGCTAATCTAGCTGTGGCTCTTGTTGCATTGCTGACCCTGTACCCAGGCTGTGAGGGAAGGGCTGGGATGTTGTCCCTGTTTACTATTTCTTCCCTTTCAGAGCCTCTAGCCTCTGTCTGTGGCATAGACATCTTTCAGTTCCACCTCATTCCTTGGGGCATACATTCTCACTGGCCCTTATAGTCTACTTTAACCCTCTTCTAGCCTAGTCTCACTCTTCTTTATAACAGATTAGATTGCCTGTCTTTCCTTCTGAGCCCTTCAATAGCTCTCAGTCATTTGCTAAGAAAGCCCTGGTCTTCTCCAGCATTTGTACTATTTTCTGTAACGTAGTTTCTGCTGACTTTCCAAAAACTATCCCCAAGCCTTGGCTTTGCGCTATCACACTGCTCATTCCCATGCATATTCTGAGCTTCTGGGCCTTAGAGTTTGCTGTTCTGTCTGCCTGAATCACCACTCCCACCTCTGCTTACTCATTCTTGCCTCAAAATTCAGTGTGGGGAGGACCTCCTTTTGGAAACCTTCCCTAACCCCAGTGTCATTCCACATGGGTCTATGCTTGTTTCTTGAACTTATTGAAATGATCTGATTTGTTTTTGTTTTTGTTTTTTGAGTAGGTGATGATGCCAGGAATTTGATCTAGAGCTAGCTTCATATATGTTTTTTTTTTTTTTTTTAAATTTATTTATTTATTTTGTGTGTGTGTGGCCAGCTCAGCCCACCAGGGGGCAGGGCTGGCTGGCATGTGGTGCTAGGGGATTGAACTGTGGTCCTTGGGCTTTGCTTAAGCTTAACTTGTTCTAAGTGGGTGCTTTAGACCACTGAGCCATCTCACCAGCCCTTCATATATGTTTTTATGCTTTCACTTAGACTGTAAGTTTATTGACTTTCTTTTTTTTTTGTGGTGGTGCTGGGGATTGAACCTAGGGCTTTTATATCCTCACCTGTTTTTTTTTAGTTTTTATTTTGAGACATAATCTTTTTTTTTGTTGTTGTTTTTTAAAAATTTTTTATTCATTTATGTGTGTGTGTGTGTGTGTGTGTGTGGCCAGCTCAGCCCACCTGAGGGCGGGGCTGTTTGGCATGTGGTGCTGGAGGATTGAACCATGGTCCCTGTGCTTTACTAAGCTTGTTCTAAGTAGGTGCTTTAGACTACTGAGCCATCTCGCCAGCCCCTGTTGTTGTTATTTTTAAGATAGGTTCTTATTGTGCAGTTCAGGCTGGGCTTAAATTCACCGTGTAGCCCAGGTTGGCCTTAAATTGATAGCAATTTTCTTGCTTCAACCTCCCTAGTGCTGGGATTACAGATGTGTGCCACCACACCTGGCTGTGAGACAGAGGCTTGCTAAGTTGCCAAGGCTGGGCTTGAACTTGCCATCCTTTTGCCTCAGTCTCCCAGAATGGTGAGATTACCAGCTCTGTGTATGTATGTGTGTGTGTTTATTAAAATATAACCTACATTGAACCATATCTTACTCTTATATTCTTGTCACCTAATAAATATTTGATCTGAATTGATCATTTCCAGTTTTGTATAATTCGTAAGACATTTTCTCTTTATCCCATTAAGTTCTGAGATAGAGATAGCAGTCTAGATAAAAAGGCAGTGACCACTGGAAAGAAGTAACTTTAACACCTCACCCTATCCAGCCCATAGGTGTTAATAGCCAAATATTTTCATCTGGGAAATAAATGAGATGGGTTCCTGGATCCTCATCCCAAGGAAGCAAATAATCCTGGTTTATAGTCCGAGTCCCATCCAGCTAGAAGTGCTGGTATCTTCTCTGAACTTTTGCCTCTTAATGAAATCAGGCTAGTTTTGTAGCTACGTAGTGGTAGTGTGCTGAGGCTTGTGATTCTAAGTTCACTGGGATGAATTTGAGCTAACTCTGGGCTTTTCATAGGAGTCCAGCTGTTGGTGAGCTGGCGAATGGAGAGACTCCAAAATAGGGTGATCAGCACTAAGGGAGGGTTGTGCATGAGCAAAGCAGTGGAAACCAGGAGAGAGTGTGGTGAGGCAAAGACCAGAGTAATGGTTTGAAATATGAGACTTCGGCTAGGAGACAGAACCCAGGTAGAGGAAAGAAGGTGGGGGTACCAGCTGAGCCTGGTATATCTTCCTGCCTCTTGTTAGTTTAGACAAGCAGTATGAGACTGAGACCCAGTTATACATAAGTCAAGGCCATACATACTCCATTGAGCCTTAACTCAATGCTCACAGGCTAAAGTCATCTTCTTTCTGGGGAACCATGTTAGAGTCAGGTGTGCAGTCTTATTCTGACTTAGGGGGCTAAAGGAGGGTGGTTAAAAAAATAATAATAAAAAATAAAGGAGAGTGGTTGGTGTCTCCTCAGAGGTTTCCTCAGTTATGTTAATTTTTTTTTTTTTTTTTTCCTATCTAAATAGTTGTAGACGGGGCACTGCTTGCAGAGCAGGTCCTGCCAGCTTCGCTGGAGAGGATGCCTCCATGTCCGTGATGGGCTGTGGGACAAGCAAGGTCCTTCCTGAGCCGCCCAAGGATATCCAGCTGGATCTGGTCAAGAAGGTGGAACCCTTCAGTGGCACTAAGAATGATGTGTACAAGCACTTCATCACAGAGGTAGACAGTGTTGGCCCTCTCAAGACTGGGTCTCCAGCTGCCAGTCAGTATGTACCCCCTGGCAATGGTGCCCCAAATACCGGCTACATGGAGCCTCCTCCTTCAGAACCACCGAGAAGGGCCAGAGTGGCAAAGTACAGGGCCAAGTTCGACCCACGTGTGACAGCTAAGTATGACATCAAGGCTTTGATTGGTCGAGGCAGCTTTAGCAGAGTGGTACGTGTAGAACACCGGGCCACCCGTCAGCCATATGCCATCAAGATGATTGAGACCAAGTACCGAGAGGGACGGGAGGTGTGTGAGTCTGAGCTTCGTGTGCTGCGCCGGGTGCGCCATGCTAACATCATCCAGCTGGTCGAAGTGTTTGAGACACAAGAGCGTGTGTACATGGTGATGGAGCTAGCCACTGGTGGTGAGCTGTTTGACCGCATCATTGCTAAGGGTTCCTTCACTGAGCGTGATGCCACAAGGGTGCTACAGATGGTGCTGGATGGCGTCCGGTATCTACATGCACTGGGCATCACACACCGTGACCTCAAGCCTGAGAATCTGCTCTACTACCACCCAGGCACTGACTCTAAGATCATCATCACTGACTTTGGCCTGGCCAGTGCCCGAAAGAAGGGTGATGACTGCCTCATGAAGACCACCTGTGGCACACCTGAGTACATTGCTCCTGAAGTCCTGGTCCGCAAGCCCTATACCAACTCTGTGGACATGTGGGCATTGGGCGTCATTGCCTACATCTTGCTCAGTGGTACCATGCCCTTTGAGGATGACAACCGCACCCGGCTGTACCGTCAAATCCTCAGGGGCAAGTACAGTTACTTGGGGGAGGTAAGTCTATTTTGCCACTGTCTTAGGGCTATTGGGGAGGTCGTTGGTAGGTTGTATAACTAAAAGCACTTGGGTAGACCAATGTGCTCTGAGAGCCAGGCGGGTTATGTAAAAAGACTAGAGTATCTTAATTTGGGTTCCCTTGAAAGTGAGCCCTGAGATAAAGACGTGGAAGCAGATAATTTTTGTGGAAAGTGATTTCAGTAACTTCAAGTAAAGGGTTGGAGAAAGTGAAGCAGGAAAGGGAGAAAGCCAGGAATGGGTACTTGAAGTGGGCTTCCCCTCTAGAATACTGGAACTCAGTCCTTTTGGGCATCTTGTGAATAATCACATGGCACATGCCTCACATCAGTGAAGGCCAGGGAAGTATGCTTTTTGTTTGTCTTTTAATGTACCAACTGTACTTCATAGGTTGAGAATTGCTTTGGGGCCATTAAATCTCTGGTGGAGTGTTAGGGAATGTAGCTCGGTGTAGGCTATTTGCCTAGCATGCCCAAGCCCCTGCATTCAGTCCCCAGTAATGGAAAAAACAACAACAATAAACCTGATGTTTCCAGACTGTCCCAAATAGTAGTTAGTACTGGAAAAAATCCTCAAACAAAGAAGGAGAGCAATGAGATGTAGGCCTTAGCAGTGTGAAGCTGTGACCAGGCATGGCAGCTGTAGAGGTGGGCTGAGGGACTATGAGACAGGTGGGATCTTGGGTAAGCTAGAGTGAACATGCCTCATTTCAGGCAGCAGTTGCTTCTCTTCTATCCAGTTTTGCCAGGCCACAAGGAGGACTCCATGTAGCCACAGACCCCATCTGACTCAAAAGAGGAGCCAGATATCTGATTTTAAGATGTTGGAGTGTAGTTCATATACTTAAGCAGCAGCTCATATGTTAAAAGATATTAAGCTGAGGCCAGATTCAGCTAGCAAGTCATTATTTTGTGTCTTTGGATAGTTCTGATACCTACAAAAATTTGTCAGCACTGCTGGTTGTCAAAGGTGGTACAAAATAATCAGAGCTGGTTTGTCCTTTGGAAGGACATTGTTGGAAGCAAGGACTCAAGAAAGAACAACAAGGGCCGAGGAGATGGCTCAGTAGAATAAGCGCTTGCCTGGCAGGCACAAGGGCCTGAGTTCAATCCCCGGTTCTGAAAAAAAAGAAAGAAAGAGAAAGAAAGAAAGAAAGAAAGAAAGAAAGAAAGAAAGAAAGAAAGAACAAGAACTACAAGCTGTCTGTGAAAAAAAAAAATGTGGGAGGTGAGCTGAGTTTTACAAGATGACAGGAAGGTCTTCTTCCCTGAATGATCCCCATGGAATATTCCACTGTGTTTATTTGTGCCTCTTGTACAACCTACAGAGAGGAAAAGGTGGTAGCAGCTCCCCTCTGCTGCTCATCTTTTCTTCTAGGGGTTTGGGCCTGATCCTGACTCATCCCACCAATTGGCTCTAAGCTGTGTTCCCTGTAGGTGTCACCCAGTAGCTTCATACATACAATGACCTTTAGCCATTGAAGTCCTATAGTGTATCACCTTCTCTATCAGCTTCCAGGTATATCTGTGGGTTTAAGAATTTCCCTCTTTTGAGACACAGCTGGTGCAAGTTAGGGTGGAAAGCTTTTTTCTTTAGGCCCACTCTGTAGCAGGGACAGGAGAGGTGTTGTCTGTGTGCACCACTTTTAGGAGAGATAGGTGGCATAGAGGCTGTTGGTGACTGTTTGTACCAACAATTGTGACCATTGGGCTCTGGAGTGAAGTGATCAGCCTCATGGAAAGCTCAGGCCTGACCTGCTATCACTTTCAGATTTTATTTTATTTTTTTAATGTATTTGGTACAGGGTCTCACTATGCAACTTGGACTCATAGTGATTCTCTTGTTTTCAGCCTCCCCAGAGCTGGGATTACAGGTGTGTGCAACCATGCCCAGACTCAGTCACTGGCTAAGCACACCTGGGGGCAGGGCCAGTGTGGCATGCAGTACCTGGGATCGAATCCTGGTCTCTGCACTTGCCTAAGCAGGCGCTTAGTCTGTTGAGCTATCTTGCTGGTCCTTATGGTATTGTTATTAAGTGGGGAGTTTACTGGGAATCGAACTCAGGACTTTATGCTTGCCAGACAAGCATTTGTATCACTGAGCTAAATCCTCAGCCCACTTTTAGATTTTGAAATAGCCTGGGGGTTCTACAGAAAATTTGGTGTGATGGTGTATGCCTGCAATCCCAGTACTCAGAAGACTGAGTCAGGAGGATCACCATGAGTTTGAGGTCAGCTTAAGCTACATAGTGAGACCCTGTCTGGAAAAAAAAAAAAATTTTTTTTTTTCCACTTTCATGTGCATGCTGATCTGGGCAGTAAATGGAACCATACAGGTACTGAACTCTAGAGGATGGAATGTAAAATTATTATTATTATTATTATTATTATTATTATTTTATTATTATTTTTTGAATGTAAAATTGTCTCCAAATTCTTAGCTATAAGGTAGAAGTACCCACTGTGGGATTACTCTGGTCTAATTAGATTTGATTCAAGGCTCAGCTAAAGTTTTAGGTTTGGTTTCTCAGGGCAAGTGTAGGCTTTTGATGTTTGTACAAGTGTTGGCAAGAGGCATGGGTAATGGCAGAGGAACAACTTGGGAACAAGCTGCTTGATGTTTCAGTGGTTTTTTCTGTAGTACTGAGGTTAATTCCCTGATAGTTATGTGGTTCTCAACTAGGGTTTGGCCACGAGGGGGGCACAAGCCTGTATGTGTAAACTAATGATTATAACCTCTCCTAGTGTCCCTGGACACAGCTGTAAAGGCTTGCTAGAGCACTGCCAGCAGGAACTTGAAGTTGTTGCTGCCTCTATTTCTGAGGAGCCCACCTGGCTGAGAAGTAACTGGAAGGGACAATCTTCTATTCTATTTCATTTGTGCACATCCTTAACCTCCATGTAGAAATGTAGAGAGAAAGCAGGACTCTGCTGGGAAGGAGTAGAAACAAGTGCTTCTCACACTTTAATGCCCATGCAAATCTTTGGGTCCTGTGTGGCCTGAGAGCCTACATTTTTGTCAAGCACCTGGATGATATTGGTGCTATTGGCCTGCAGGCCACAGTTTGAAGATCAGATATTTAGACATGTACCATTAAAAACGGGCTGGGTGGTCATGAATAGCTGTGGAGAAGGTGGGACATGGGTTTTGGAGGATGGCCAAGATGAGTGAGACTGGGAAAAAAGAAATGGCATGCACAAAAGTATGAGAAAGTAGCTGGGTATTGTGGTGCCTGTCTATAATCCCAGTAGTTTGGGAGGCTGAGGCAGGTGAATGGCAAGTTTAAGCCCAGCCCAGGAAATTTAGCAATTTAGGAAGACTGTGTCTCAAAACAAAACCCAACCTCCCCTCACCTCACTCCACCCCACCTTGCCTCACCCAGACCCAGTCTCAACCCAACCAAATGACACAAACACCAACCAGTATTTGGGGTGGGGTGCAGTGGGGAGAACCTGCAGGAAGTAGGCTTGTTGAGGGGAGAGGCTTGAAGCATATGTTCATCTATACCTGAGGTTGGGAAGTTCAGTTGTCTGGATTGGAGACTCGAGAGAAACATATGAGGTTGTACTTGAAACTGAAATTTTATGATAGATTTGTGAATGCTTGAAGATTGAAAGAATAGTTATGCTCTAGGAGCTGTATCATCACTCTGCATGATGCCAAGCTATTTAAGGTCCAGCTGATAAAGGGGGGTACCAAGATTAGCTAAGGAAGGGAGGCAGAAAGTGATGGAGATTTCCTAAAAGCTGGTAATGGAGGACTTTTTACAAAGAATTCGTTATCTAAGAATTCCTGATTCTACCAATTACTGGTTGGGCATTTTATCTAATTGGAGTGTGCATAATCTAGCTGCCTACTTATTGATTGTCTAAGGCTGGAGAATGATAAATGAATGGAATAGAGATTGAATTCAGGCTTTCTGCTGCTGCTGGAGCCAAAATATTGGGTCCTAGGATTCTGATTCCTGCTGTACTGCAGTAATGAGACGTGAGTCTGGGGCTCCAGCGTGCATGCTTGTGTGTATAATGAAAGCATCAGTTCCCAGTTCCAGAGTCAAATTCCTGGTGAGCCCTGGTGATAACTTGTCTGATATGAAGAACCTGGCTGACCCTACAGATTTCATCCACTCTGTGGGTCCTTCTGGCTTCAGAGGGATTTGTCTGGTTGTTTTCTGGGGTAGTTAGGTGACCTTATTGCTAGATCAGGCCTTCTATGCTGGAGACCAATCTTTTTTTTTTTTTCTTTTTTCTTTTTGTAACAAGTCTCCCTGTGCAGTTCAGGCTGGCCTTGAGCTTACTTTGTAGCCCAGACCAGTCTCAAACTCAAAACATTCTTCCTGTCTCAGCCTCCCAAGTGCTGGGATTACAAGCTTTCACCACCATGCTGGGCTAAGACCATTCTTTTTGTCTTACTGCTCAGTACTCATCCACAAGAACATCTGTAGAAAATGCATCAGAGACATAAAACCTGTTGTTCCCCATCCTATGGAAGTGTAAATTGCCTAGGGGAAAAGAATTAGAATACGAAATGCCCCCAGGATGAGGCCTTGGTGGCGTACACATGGCAGCACAGGCTTGGCATAGAGCCACTGGGACTTGGCCTGAGCAACCTGTAACTTAAGTTACAGAGCTTAGGTCAAATGGCTGGGCTCTGCCCCTTTCTTCCTGCCATCCATCTTGTACTAAACCTGTCGAGGGGATATAGAGTACAAATGAAGTACCTCCTACTCTGAGCTCAGCAAGGTGTGAAGAGAAGGATTTCTCACCAGGGAATAAGTCCTATGGTTCTTGGTTCCATCCTCAGGCACTTTTCTAATCTCCTGTCCCCTTACAGAGATATCTCTTTTTGTAGAACTGGGGATTGAACTCAGACCCTTGTGCTTGCCAGGCAAATGCTTATTCTACTGAGCCATCTCCCAGGCCCCCAGAGGTATCTCTTGTAGGCTGCCTAGTACATTTATTTTGGGCTCTGTCCATGCA